TCTGTAAGTATAGAAATAGTTGTGGCTATGAAAGCAGTTGTGGGTTGAGGTTTTATTTTCATTTTCTATCTTTTGTTGATGCTTGTGTAGGTAGAGGTGTCAGAAATAACAACAGTTATATCACAATTATATTAATTTTCAAACATGTGATATCGGGAATGTAAAAATTATGGTGACTGGTGGTCCGCAATTGGCGTTACCCGTAATAGTTTTTTGATATCCTATCAGAGCATCACGACTAAAGGTCCCTGCCAGCAACTGGATGAAATTCACATTCAGTTAAACAAAATGTGACCGGCACTGGTTAAATGAGAAGGTCTACTTCTTCATGAAAATGCTCATCCACATTTTGCCAGAATGATACTGCAGAATGTCACCGACTTGGGGCATTTGCACCTTGACAATTATTTTTTAAACCAAAAGACATTTCGTTGCGAAGATAATGCAGAAAATGCATACAAAGATTTCTTGGTGTCCAAACCATTAAAGTTTTGTAGTAAAGGCATAAATAACGCTGAAAATCTATTACAGAAATGTATAGAGGTTCAAGGTTTTTATTTCTTGACTGATTTAAACACAGTTTACATACATTAATTTAAGAATAAAAGTTGATTCTATAATCGGACATTTCCCCCGAATAACCTAATATTAGGTTGGTGCAAAAATAATGACGTAATAATGTCGTTTTTTGACCTTAAAAAATACGTCAAAAACGACATTATTACGTCATTATTTTTGCACCAACCTAATAGTATATTTATATTACTGGCCAGCATTTATATGATTTCTTGAATTTTAATGGTGGAAAATTGAAACCTAAGTAAAACAGGTATGAATCGTATAAAAACTGTCAGAATAGAAAAAAAAGGTCGATATAAATATTAATTTTAGATTTTAGGTAGAATCGGAAACATTTGCGTTGAAAAATGTTTACTTCGTGTAAAAACTGTCACTATATAAATATCATTAATTTGTGGGCTGTAGAATCTATATATTAAGATATATTACAAGTTAATGCAAGTAGAGACATAATGCATTTTTTCTAACTAATGTTCAACCAATACAAGACCCAAGAGCTACTCAAGGTAGATGCTTACTGTGTGGAGTTATATTAGTTTTATTTGTTCCTAATATCCAATTTTTGTTAAACAGGCATTTAATTCAACGTTTATTAGTTAAAAGTAAAAATGAATAAAAGATGTCCCAAGCATGATAAAAACAAAGATTTATCGTTAAAATATTTATGTCATTATTAAAAGAAAAATCAAAGGGTATTAAATTAGTAAATACCCCGCCGAACGAACTTTCGCTTTCCCGAATTACAAAGGACTCACTTTAATTGAAGTCAAATAAATAAATATTATTTGTTTATACCTTTGATACTCTTCGTTTATTTCAAAGTTTCCAGTAAATAATACTAAGAACCCCTAGCATTTTTATCACAGTTCAAAAAAGGATTAAAAATATAATTTGATTAAGTTGTTTTTGTTTTGCAAACATCAGATAATTGTCGGATTTTAATGTATCTTTCAGGACAGATTCACAAATAAAATGAATATTTTTAAAACTTTTTTATTAGAAAATCTTTATATAAAAAAATTTTATATGTTAAACACTCACTCATTTAATTTTATGAAATTCCAAGAAATACTTATTATTATTATTATTATTATTATTAAATAATAATAATAATAATAATAATAATAATAATAATAATAATAATGACTATCATAAATTAAATAAAACAAATATCATTAAAACTTTGTTTAAAATAAATTAAATAAACCAAAATAAATAAATCAAATGTTCTCCCAGCATGCAACAGAAACATTTTCTACCGGAAAACGGACTTCGCGCCTAAAGACGCTGAATTCACTCACTTCGCTAACGACTGTTAGAAGTCAAGACGTCCAGCTCCTCTCTCTCTGGAACATTGCTTGTCTTAATACGAAATGACTTCTTCCTTTTATCACATCAACCTTAAAACGCGTGTAACTAAAATGCACACACACCAGTACACAAAATAAATAAATTGTATGCTTTTAATTTACAATTTAACATGATTTCTGTGTATGTGAACACGAGGCTATTTCTGATGGTATGATGTGAGTGACCCCACAATCGTTCAGTGTTTCTATTTGTTATGAGGACAAGTACTCGGATAATTTAAATCATGGTATGATAAAGATGTAATAAGACTAAGACATTTTTAATGAGAGAAGCTTTTAATTGTTATTGTATTATGGACGCTATTGTCTTAAGTAAAACATTTTTTGATGAATAGTTGATATTTACAACAATTGTTTTCATTTTTAAAAATTTTAATTAGAATAATTAATAAACTTTTAGATCTTTTTAAAATTCTGCATTAACTTATAGCGGTTAAATTACATTGTTTTTAAATTAAAACTATTTACTAATCATGAATTCATATAATTTAACGTTCCACGGTATTTAAAAAAATGTGAATTTGTGTGTGCGTGTATAAACATGTCAATTTTTGTAAATACGGACATTCATACACAACATTATCAGACAATAAGCGAGGTACCTATAATAAATTCACGTTGCTTACTCACTTCATACATGGAATTCTTAGTATCCATTTGTAGAACCATATTTCTGTTGCCTGGAATTTCATCTTCATTTGTGTGGAGATTGTTCAGCATTCCCTGTCATATACAAGAGGATTGATATTACATAGTAAAATGTGAATATCAAAATATTGTCCCTTTCGACTTTCTCACATTCTGAGCGCCGGTTCGTCTTCTTATTTTATGTGTCGTGCCTCTTCAAGACGTTGGTGATCATTTTCTAATTTCCTATTTTAATAAATTTTGTCTTATCTCTCTTAAACCCGGTTCTATCATCCTTTTTTACTCAAGCCATCTGGGTAGGTTACGTGGTTTTTTCCTCTTTCCTTCAAGTAAATATCAGGTTTTCCAAGCGCTTCTTCCTCATTACGTGTCCCAGAAATTTCAGCTGTCTCTTCCTGATGTTAAGTATAAGTTTTCTTTTTGTTTCCATTTTCTTTAAAACCTCGTCAAGTCCATGGTTCCCGAAGCACCCTTCTGTAGAACCAGATTTCTGTTGCTTCTAGTCTCCTCTTTATCTGTGAGGAAATTGTCGAGCATTCACTGCCATATAAGAGGGCTGGTATTACGTAACAGTTCAGTACCCTTTTCTTTGTTTCCATCGTCTTGTGTATGACGATAAACTACGTCCGGTAGAAAGGTCTCTGATTGGGAGATTAGAGGTTTTTAGGATCGTGGAACCACCTTTTAATTGTTGTTGTTCCCGGGTTTGCCCTTACCCAGGGTGGGTAGGACATTTTAGGATCCCATCTACAGGAAAATAGCGAACAACCGAACAAAAGACACCAGTACATTTATATAACAAAATGAGCAACAATATATTTTTATAGCAAAATAACAATCAATGCAACACTAAAAAATATAAAAAACATTTGTTATGGGATCTTACCCATAATAATAATAATGGACTATTCCATACTTAATAAATACTGCTCGGTTGAACTCTCTTCCTACGGATTTGAAGGTCCTGAAGGGAGGCTCCGCCGAAGGGCGGAGTCTCCTTCGGGGAGGTAAACCGGCCCTGAACCCGTTTATACGGGTTCAATTTTTTGGCCGAGCCCACGGGCTCGGAATGCTCACGTTAAAAAGGCCTTGTGCCACATGACACCCTCGTGGGGGGTGACTCAATATCGTGTGTCAGTAGTTCAAGTCGAGTCAAGAGTCGAGTCAGAGGCAGTCCGAAACAGAGTCGTGTTCAGAAAATTACTGCAAGTGAATAGTGATACTGGTCGAGACTACATTGTTCTCTCTACTAAACCTGATTGTTCATACTAACACTTCTACTTCTCTGTATATATTCCTGTTTGTAATATATCTGTGTTATTCCATATCCGTGTTCGAGTTCTTCTTTATTATTGGTTCTACCTTGGACTATCACCGTGGTACAAGGAACCGGGCCATAACAACATTTTTATGGTAAAATTATCTATAATACATTTTATGATCTAAATATTATGTCTAAAAAAACATACCTTTACTCTGAAAGTATAAAATTAGGTAAAAAACATCTGTAGTTAAATGCATAAAATTACTTACAAAATATTTAGATTTCGGCATTAAATAACTCGTAAAGATTGATATGCTAAGCAAAACCAACGAACCAATCAACCAACCAACGTACCTTTGTTTCTAACGAAATTTTCCTGTTTCTTAATACTTTGCTTAGCTTTCGGAAGGCAAATTTCACTATCCCAATGGAACTTGATTTCCGTGATGCATTTTCCGTAACTTAAGAATGTCAAGGTAAGACGTTACTTTGAATTAAAAAACAAAAAAGCAACAAAAGCAACAACAATAACAATAATAATAGCATTGTTTAGCATTGTATGTTCTTTAGAAGTGACTTGTTACCGAGAATGCCGGTTAGATCACCCAAATAGTCTAAAAGTTCCACCCGTTATTCACTGATGAGCGATCCCTCGGCTATTTTATACTTCACCTCATTCCAGTTTGCTTTCTCAGTGACCTCATTCGAGCGCTTTGCCATCAACTGAGAGACATGAAGATCAAACAGTCTGATAAAATTTCTCCCAGGTCTGACACTGGGCGAGTGCTCTCGTTGCTGACGCCCGGTCCCGGGGGAGATCACCCTCAAATGAATACCTCAGCCTCCTGAACCCGTTGCTTTTTTTTTTCTTGGTCTACGCCCGACATTTTTGCAACGAACAGACCGGCCAGTCCTTGAAGACATCAATACGCTTCCTCCCCAACCTTAGCGAAAAATGGCGTGTGCACGCACGGCCAACTCCAGTTCAATACTCAGGTTGACCGCCTAGACCAAATTCTTGCCATCTACCCCACCGACCAGCCGACAAGACTGGACAGACTTACTCCGTCTCAGCTTCCCCACCTCACCCAAGTGTCATTGATATCCTCTGTCCAAATTTTTGCTCTGGAGGTCAAACGATGGGCGATCATTCTTTGCATGGATACATCAGAGGCGATCGAGTCAGGTCTGGACAGTGGCCGGCCATCGTTTGTGTGAAGACGGCGAGGAATAACCGGACTCTTTGGAATCAGTTCGGCTAAGACAGTTCCAATGTTTTTAGTGTTTGGGTGAAGATTTATAATTTTTGTCGTGTTCCTGTCGAAAACAGTCAAGGAATATTTTTTAATTTTACTCCCGCAGAAGAAACTATTTTTAACTCACTCCCATACTAGAAGACTTAACGCTCTCTCTCTCTCTCTCTCTCTCATATTAAAGAGATTATTTATCTCTCTCTCTCTCATAACAGTCTCTTTCTGTTCCCCTCTCTCATAACAGTTACTTCTTTTTCTCTCTCTCTCACTTTTTTTCTTTCTTTTATTTTTCCTCTCTTTTCATAATATATCTATTTCTTTTCTTCTCTCCCTCTGACTCTCTCTTTCATAAAAAAGCAAAAACCTGCCATGACACGCAGATTGTCGAACCGACTCCCAAGAGGATACTTTCCGGATTACTACAATATTAGCCTGTTCATGTCTAAGGTCAACCGTTATCTTCTTAACATATCCAATAAACAGTGCCTCTTGTCCTGTAACCCTCTACCTCGAGTGGCGCTTGGACATAATTTAAAGTAAAAACAGTCTATATCTTTGCCTCTTTCTTAAAAAAAATGTCTTTTTAAATCAATTCAACCCAATCAAGGTAATGGTACTACTAAGACGCAAGGGACTTGTGGAAGTGAAAGAAACTGAGAAGACTTAGGAGGAACCGGAAATCCAATCCTAAACAGGAAACAAAGCATAAACTTCTGCTCTGTTCAAATATCCGGAGAGGAGTTTGAACCGGACGATAGGTAAACTATTTCTTTCCCTTACCACTTTCTCTCATAAAAGAACACCATTTTGTCTCCCCGATCTTTCTTAAAATAAATTTCTTTTCTTCTCTCTAATATGAGATAGGTAGTTTTTTTTAATTTTATTCCCCCACTCTCTCATGCTCAATCAATACAGAAGAATCTATTCCTTTTCTTCTCTCTATTTTCACTCATAAAAGAAGAATCTATTTATCTCTCCTTTTCTCTTAAAATAAGCGTCTTCTCTCTCTTTTTCTTTTATAAAATAAAAGTCTATCTCTTTAACTCTCTTTTTCATAATAGATTTTATTTTATCTCTCTCTCTATCAAGCACAGAATCTGTTTTTTTTTCCTCTGTCTCTTTGATATCAGAAAAAAAAACTGTTTCTCTCACTCTCAACTAGAATTGAACCAAATTAATATTCCTTGTTAAATATCCAGTTGAAGCGAAGTGAAGCGGGAATGGATATGCGCATGCCCAGATCGTTTTATACTCACTTTCGTATTAATTTCTGTAGTTATGCTTTCACGCATGTCAAGTTTAACGCGCAGTGTTGGAGTCATTTTGTTAATAATCGTTTGACAGCGTGGGTGGAGAGTAGAGAAATAGGAAAAGCTAAGCGAGTTCGAAATTTACTTGAGGCTCATTTTACCTTAGCGAAAGGCATGAACCCACCTCTACCCGCGCTCTCTCACATCACCGATACCTAGAAAGAATAATCTCCTTATTGACATGTTAGAATGATTTACTCTGAAGAGAGTACATACATCTGGGCAAATCATTCACCCAGAGAACCCTTCCCAATTTTCCCAGACAATAACAATCGCGAAAACATGTTGTCGATAGCACTTACGTTAATAATAATATTCAGTCATATATATATATATATATATATATATATATATTATATATATATATATATATATATATATATATATATACATATATAATTATTTATTTAAAAATATGATTCCAACACGCTATATAAGAGGTCTCATGTTTCAAAACAAGAGCCGAAAACTTCAATACAGTGTAACCCGGATATAAGAGAGTTGTCGGGACCGGAGAATAAATCTCTTATATCCGGGTTTGGTCTATTCTATATACATTAACACAGGCTCTAATTTGGGACCAGAGAAAATCTCTCTTATATCCGGGTTTCTCTTATATCCGGGTTACACTGTATAATTATTTGAATTAAATTGAATTAAAGTAAGCTCTGTTCCATCTTCAAGCGAAATTTTTTTTGGAATAACTTATTTCTGAAATTTACGTGTTTTAATAGCATATTCATTATTGAAATCAAAATTTCCATGGTAACAGCCAGAGCGATTGTTTAAATAGGAAGGGGTGTTGCGTGTTAATAATTTGTATCAGTATAGCGTTACATTCATAGATGTCAAGTCAGGATAAGGTAGGGGTGTCTAAATTTAAAACGGAAGATGTTTTCGCCTAGTCTGGTTTACGTGTCTATGGAGATTTATTTATTTTTTTATTTTATTTCTTTCTGAAAGGGTTTTGTGTATATAAAAAAACTGCCGTAACATTTGTTTTTTGACGATTTCATAAAGGGTTATCTTTTTTTGTAGGGTATTTAAACTATTTATTAGGGCTATGGATTATAAAAATTATTTTATTGCATGTTTGTTTTTATGCTAATTATTCAATGCAAAAATTTGATGATGTCGGCAAAAAACCGTTAACTCATGTCTATTGTTTAATAGATTTTTATTATTTAGAAACTTAATAATGTGCAGTTTCTCATGCAGGCACAAAGGGCATGGGTCATCCCAAGTATTACAAGTTCTAGTCCTGTTTACAATTTTCCATTAGGTGTCCTATTCATTTCCTTCAAATGCCAAAAATATTTAGATAGAGATGTCTGATTTCTTTTATTTATATTGTTGAAAGGGCACTTATGCTGCCTCAGTCTGGCTTTAAATTCATTCTTCGTAGACCCAATGTATATCATATTAGCATTACCTAACGAGTTCTTTCCTATTTTCTATATATTTTCACACACACACACACACACACACACACACACACACACACATATATATATATATATATATATATATATATATATATATATATATATATATATATCGCCTTTATGACAACTGGTCTAGGAGAAGGACAATTCTGGATTCAAAACCTGCGGAGGGTTTTTGTGCGACCTTGTGGCACGTAGTGAACCAGGTCTCTGTATTCGGCCCTTCAAAAAGTGTGGTCGGTTCTGCACAAAGCCTTCATCACTATAATCAAATTATATGTGCTGGTGTCTGGGCCGTTGGTTCCTAGGAACTGAGCTGTTTGACCTTCATACATCGAATACAACGGGAGAGTCCACCACATATGTGTGTGTGTGCCTATGTTTGTGTGTGTGTGTGTGTAATTCCAGTCAAATCCATTACATTCACTTACGTGCTAAAAACCCTTGGGAAAGGTATGACTCCTCTTCTCCCTCCAGCTATGGGTAAATAGCAGGACAGACTGGGTTCTATAGCCTTGGGTGGCAACTGGTCTAGGAGAAGGACAACTCTGAATTCAAAACCTGCGGTGGGACGTTTGGGGACCTTGTGACACGAAGTGCACCAGGTCTCTTCAAAAAGAGTGGTTGGTTCTGCACAAAGCCTTCACCCTACATAGGTGCTGTTGTCTGGGTTGTTGGTTCCTAGGAACTGAGCTGCTTGACCCTCCTATGTCGAATACGACGGTAGAGCTCACCATATATATATATATATATATATATATATATATATATATATATATATATATATATGTGTGTGTGTGTGTGTGTACGTATATATATGTGTGTGTATATATATATATATATATATATATATATATATGTATTATATGTGAACGAGGTGTTGGAACGTGCTGACCATATAATGCGAACTCTCTCAGGAACTGTATAGTTGTAGTATTGAGTGTTGAATAAACACAAATGTGACGTATCCTCATGATCCATATCACGCACATCAGTCATCATAACCATTCCAACAGTAACGCTCTTGCTTAAGTGGCTCTAGATGCTTGTGTTGGGCTAATTGCAGTATAAAATTTATGCTTCTACATATAAATCCATATGTCCATATATGTATTAGGAAAAATTATTGGCAAAGTGGAAAAAACTTTTCCTGTGACACGTTTCATCGTTTCGTATTTCATCGGACGAAAGTGATATTTACGTTGATGTGACTACACATATTGATTATATTAAAATTAAATTATAAACTTGCATTATAAAAATTCTAAAAAATTATTTAAAAAATTCTAAAAAAATTATTTTAAAAAATTAAAAAAATATAAAAATTAAAAATAAATTAAAAATATTATTAAAAAATATATAAATTATTTAAAAAATTATAACATTTTAAAAAAAAAAATTATGAATTGAAAATTAAAAAAAAATAAAAAAATATTTTTATTTTATTCAAAAAATTGTAAAAATTACATTATAAAATTTCATTACATTAAAATTGAAATAAAATTATATTAAAATTACATTATAAACTTGCATTATAAAAATTCTAAAAATTATTTTAAAATTCTAAAAAAATTATTTAAAAAATTCTAAAAAAATACTTTTAAAAAAATTAAAAAATATAAAAATTAAAAATAAATTAAAAATATTATAAAAAAATTATATAAATTATTTTAAAAAATTATAACATTTTTAAAAAAAATTATAAATTGAAAATTAAAAAAATTAAAAATTATTTTTATTTTATTTTATTCCAAAAAAATGGTAAAAATTACATTATAAAATTTCGTTACATTAAAATTGAAATAAAATTATACACACGTTGATGTAACTACTCATATACACGAAGGGGAGAGAAGAGGCTTGAATTTTTATACTTTAAATTAATTTTCTTTTAATATGTGTTTAGTAATATAGTCTAGTCAGTTTAACTTAGTTACTTTTTGTTTATATTTTTATCACTTTTACTATTAAGTATCCCACATTTACTACGATAATGTTTTCTATTTTGTCATTAATTTTCTTAACATTATTCTGGTATATAAAATTTATATATCATTTGCTCATATATATGTATACATAGGTATAATAAGAAGAATAATAAGAATAATAATAATAATAAGAATAAGAATAA